AAGACCAAGTAGAGGAGAAAGTAAAACCTTCAGGCTGCCTCTTACTTTGAATCCCACCAGTTTTGGATGCTACTTTGTGGCCATCAAAAAGCTTAGAAAGAGAAAAAAGAGGGTAGCCTTATCCATCTTTCACTGTGGCCCTTTTATTGCTTCCTTAAATCCCAGTCACTTTTGACATATGGTCCTCTATAAATTACTCCCAGGGGAATGCAGCTTTTGACAGAAAAGAAACGTTGTCCATCCTGATTTACAGGATTACAGCTTAACATTTCAGTTTGGCATATAAATGCAGGAAGAAGGGTCATCATCAGCTTCAGCACAATTTCACCCAAACACTGAGGCTGAAGTATTGTTACAACCAGACTGCAGGGAGATTTATCAGTTCATACAGTATCTGTTGATTTAAACAGAACATTTGGATTTAAAAGTATGTGCCCAACCATAAGACTTACATTACCAGTACATAAATACTTAAGAATAGTGATCTGGCACTGCAATCTCATTACTGAAACATTGGCACCATGCAAAGCAAGATTATTGCAACTTTTTCAGTATCCAGTTTATGGAGAAATTAGAATAGAAGAGGCTCAGTTGTATAAGCTGTAAAACCGCCAGTGGTAAGATTTCTGGAGGGGGATTTATAGAATATAATGCTGAGGAGGCTGCAGGAAATGTCAGACTCTGAATCGTGGCTCATGATAGGAAACCCAAGGTAAACCAGATCTGAGCTTCCCATTTTTGCTGCCCACTTGCTGCATGGATTTTGTTAGTTCTGACAACCTCAGCAGCAAAATGTATGGATTTGCATTTTTCAGTTCTTGCTTTGTTCTCTCCCCATCATGTTTTAGAAAGTGCAAGTTGTTGTGACTGTTTTGGACTATGACAAGATTGGCAAGAATGATGCCATTGGCAAAGTCTTTGTGGGCTACAACAGCACTGGTGCGGAGCTGCGACATTGGTCAGACATGTTGGCCAACCCAAGGCGACCCATTGCACAGTGGCATACCTTACAGCCAGAGGAAGAAGTAGATGCCATGCTTGCAGTCAAAAAGTAGGAAGAAAGCAAAATGTGAAAAGAAGGCCTTTCTGCATTTGCCCATATAGTGCTCTTTAGCCAGTATCTGTAAATACCTCAGTAATATGGGTCCTTTTATTTCCAGCCATGCATCCCCAACAGATCAGTGGTACTTCTACTCTTGTTTTAATTTGCACAACTTTAATGTAGAAAAAGCCCTATAAGGCATTCCATCTCACCACTGCCCTCAGATCTACTCTTCTTTTAAGCAATATGTGTAGATAGAGCATGACAGAAATTATTTATTGTATCACACAGTTGTACATACCAGTATCTAAAAATTTATTTCTAGTCTGTTTATTTGTTTGTCGTAAACGTTTCCTAATCTGTGTATATCTAGATGTTTTTAATAAGATGTTATATTTTAAATTATGTAAATTGACTGAGATATAGGAGAGCTGATAATTATATTATAGGGTAACTATTGTATCGTCTGCATTCCAGCAAAAATTCCAACTTGTAAGGCACTAGTAGTGTTACACTGACATCTTAAAGGACAACTTAAATCTGAGCTTTCAACTGAACCATTACAATATCAAGATATGCTCACACGGCGCTCCTTGAAGGAATGAATCCACTGGTAGACTTTTCTTGTGGGCAATTTTGCATGATCTGAGCAGCTCCAGAACTGACCTCTAGGAAGCATAGCAGAAGCTGATATATCACTTTTTTTCCTCTTTCTCTCTCTGTATATATATGTGTGTATAAACAAACTGAAATCATGGCTTTACACTTAAAAATGAAGGTACAGTTGCATCAAGGGAGGGAGGTGGGAGCATGAAATATTACACATAGCAACATATAAACTATGTGTGGGGAATCATTTAGGGGTTATGTAGCAGCCGCCGCTGCCCTGCTATTACCCATGGCGAACATATATACTTGAAAACAAGTAGCTCTCCTTTATCACCTTTATACGAATTTGCATACTGTGAATCCCATTTGTGCTCTCACATTCTCTAATTCTAATGAGTTTGCACATTAGACTTTGTAACAAAATATTTTGTTATACTAAGCCAGATGAGAAGGAATGCAGAATATTTTTTAAAGCAAAACAAAAAAATCACAGCCGTGTGTGTTTATTATACAAAAGTAGTTTCATGGTGACAAGACAGTATTGTACAATCCCATCAAAAGAGGACAAAAAATTAGCCATATTTCTGAATGCACTTCAAAGCAAGCCAAAAGATAACAGCTAGTGACCTTTTATATACTATTTATACTAATAAGTTTTAATTTGTCCTTTAAAAAAAGTGAAACAAAACAAAGAACAAGTTCTAGCAAACTGAAGCAACCTCTTATGTACACTAGATGCTCGTTTCAGGAGGAGTTTTTAAATGTTTTCAATGTTACTATGTAGTAAATGGCACTATTATGAAGCTATTAGTCATTCCATAAGCGTCTTAAAAGACTGCTCTGTGTATCACTGTGACTGCCGTGTGTGCTTAGAAACTGTAGTTCTCTCAGTGGATAGCAATCAATTTATTCTGTAGTGATATTGTAAAAATACTGCCATTCCCTTCTACTGCACTGCCGAAGGATTGCATAGCACAAGAAGTTCTCATAGCTATGGACCAATTCAGAACTGAAGAGCTATGCACAGGACAAGGCGTCATATAGGACGGACTGACAACACAGCATTTTGTCGACACTGTGCAATATTCCACGTCTCTCCCCAGATCGATGGTAGAGGGCTGTCCTTCAGACAAGACCGATGGTCACTTTAGCTTACATTATTTTGTTGTGTCACGTGTGGCTGTTATTTTTGCGACTGGGGTCTCCTCCTTGGAGATCTCTTTGATTAATTTATTTAAATACTGGTTTGCATATTTATTTAAAAGATTGTAAATGTATTTTAATATGTTGAAACACAGGTTCTATTTTCAGTATCACCAAGCACCAAAAATATCCAGGAATGTGTTCCTCCTTCCCATTAAAAAAAAAGAAACCCTTTTAGAAAGAAAGAAAGAAATTCCTCAGAAATAATTTGAAAATATATAGTTTACCTTTAAAAAAAAAAAAAAGGCATCTCCAGTCATGTTTTTTTTTAATGATAGATCTCCTTTTTCAGAGCTCTAGGCTGGCAAGTTACCTATCAAAAGTAGAGAACTGAACTCACATGTCACAAATGGATTGTAGCAATTTAATCCAGTTTCTACTTAGCTTTCCAAAACCCCAGCGATGCAACAGTTATCATTCTGGAGCTCTTTCTATTCCATACATCAGTGTTTTTCAACCTTAGCATCTTTAAGATGTATGGACTTCAAGTCCCAGAATTCCCTGGCCAGCATGCTGGCTAGGAAATTCTGGGAGTTGAAGTCCACACATCTTAAGGTTGTTGAGATGAGAAACACTGCTCTACATCGAAGAGGAAAAGGCATAATTGAATCAGATAAGCTGAAATATATGTAAGAGGAGTCCTTTTGTAACCTTATATGAACACCAAATCTCACCAAAGACAGTGAGCCAAAACACAGAGGATTCAGTTCTGCTGTAACTTCTTTTAGTTGATCAGCATAACGGGGGAGAGAAATCTTGAAAATTTCAGGCTGAAGCTGCTAGAATTGATTCATTGTGTGAAGGTATTCTAAATTCATTCTCTTCTTACACTGCCAGAATGAATGTCACTGCAGAATTGGTGTAATGTTCCATCGTTCTCAGCAGAAAAGTCTGCTTTTTGACCAAGATGACATTTTCATCCTCAAAGAAGCCACATGTACCTTTCTGACAAAGCTGTGTAAAGTATTAGAATCTGATGCTGTAGAAAGATCCTAGTTGCCTTTGTGTATATTTACTGCCTGCTTGAGTGTTTCTTTGTGTGGGGTTTTTCTCTGTATCTTGTAGAAACATTTGGGGTGTTCTATCCTGCCATATTGCTCGTGACCCACGAGCTGACAAGTTTAGCTGTATTTTACATTTAGTTTTGATGAAGGTGGTTTATCTTTTGTTTCACTTTTGTGTAGTGAATCCCACAGTAGAGTTTTTCCAGGTGTCGTTAAAATAAAACATACATACTACACAATATCCAATAAAATGTTTTATTTCCTGTTGATGCCTCAAGTGTTCTCAGCATTATTTATTTATTTGCATTTATTAAACTAGATTTATAAGGCATCCAGCTCAAAAAAATGTGACTCTGGGTGGCATACAACAAAAAACAATAAATAAATAAAACCCCACATAATATTAAACACATACAATATATAAGTATATAAATATATAAAATACAAAATATAAAAATGACAACCAAGCACCAGAACAGAGCAACCAAACAGTTGTTGGCTCTTGGCTTAGTAAGTTGTCAGACCACAAGAATCTACTATTTAAAACTCAGTAAGTGGAAGTAAACCCTGTCCTTAATGCTAAGTCTAGCAACTCACAAGCACACTCATTACCTATGTGAATTCATATAGCTCCAAGGATGTCCAGCTATAAGAAGTATTCCTGAGGGCTATGAAAATGCCTACTTTTTCACAATTGAGAGCCTAAGTGCACGGGCACATATTTTTACACAAATATTTCCAGGCTCTGACTGTACCTACAAATAGAAAAAGGGAAAGCAGAAGTAAAGTGGATGAAACACTTCCACTTGGTTGCAAAACATCAGAAGGAATCTGGTAGCACCTTTTCCAGCTTACAAATTTAAGCTCACAAAACATTATGCCTTTTAATAAAATGTATTAGTCAGGAAAGGTGCTATCAGACTCCTGAAGTTTTGCCACCACAGGTTAACACAGCTGTCCTCTTCCAGTTTCCACTTGATTGTAGAATGCTTGAAAGCATACAAAGAGTAGCTCAGACATAATGTTTATAACAGATTCTAAAATGTAAAATAAGTATAAAAATTGTTCATTTCCATCCCCAAAGAAAATCAAGGTATTCTTTTTTAAAACATCCAGGAGTTTTGTCCTAATTAAGACTATAAAATAAATCACAAAACCAGGGGAAAACAAATGCACCACTGGCAAAGCAAGCAAATAACTAAATAACTCTATTGCTAAAACTATTAAAGCAATGATAATCCTTTTAACACATCAAAGTTAGGAAAAAAACAGCAGAAGCTTATTGCAAGCAAAGGGATGAGATTACTGAAGCATAGGTGGACAGACTGAATCTAATAAATTCACTGTGTCAGCCTTGATTCAACAGATCTTGACTAGATGCCAATGTCTAAAGAGAACACAAAAATTGCAGTCTAATGGACATGACAAGATAAAGCAAAGTGCTAATTGACAAACTAAAATTTAACAAGCACAAAATCGGATTCTAGAGAGATTAGCTGTGTTAGTTAATTGGAGCAAAAACTACAAACAATTAACACATTTTATGTGTAATTTATAATTGCTTAACCATTGACCACAGCCCACTCTATCAGATGCCTAGATTACATTAAGTATCAATTCTAGCATTTTTCGAAGACAGACTTAGATAGACTGTAAATAGACCAATTGGTAGTAGATTCAGAATAGACACATTTTCTGTTGTATAGATTCCTTACACAAACCTTCAGGTGGAGGATGAAGTAGTGGAGCATTTTGAGCAGTGCATACTGGCCTTGCCTTATGTGTCTTTGCATCCTGCCTAGGCCCATGTTTGTTCTATTCAAGTTTTGAAAAGTGTATTCAGATTCATTTGAATAGAAAGTAAGCTATCCACACAACCTGGAAACCTACTTCATTAAGGTTCCAGGTTGCAGAGAGAATTAATCAAGTGAACAATAATTTGCCCTAGGTTCAATGCAACCAGATGCAAGAGCAGGGAAGAGGGGAAGGGGAGATCTACATATTACAAGCACACACACACAAGCGTGTCACATGTAAATGCATACATCTATGGGGCTGGTAGGGAGAGAGAATTGGATTCAGTTAGATTGTAGCCTTATATTGACAAAGTGGAGAAGCTAGACGTTGCACAGAGTTCAACGATCATAACTTTTTTTTTCTTTTGAATAAATACAATAAAGAGAATCTCTGAATAGCGACTGTTGGAGCAAAGAATGAAGGAGGACTACTACCTTCAAACTTTTCTTCTGAGTTTTTGAGAACATCTGACTGATCACTACTGGAAAGGTCAATGCT